GACAGGTCTAGCTAAACTGGTATATTTTTAAAATCTGTCATGATTAAAGTGACTGTGACTTCTGAAGTGAGAAATGGTAGCTGAAAATTAAGAAAAGATGTTCCTTTTGTTGGATTTGAAAAGTTATACAAATATTTGAAAGTGTATAAAAAAGTTTGCTAGGCAATTAAAGGTAATCATTATAATTATAACTTTATCATAAAAGAGTTGAAATTCGCAGGCTATAATGCCATTATATTTTTCTTTCTTGAATAATCGAAGTTGTGATGACATACCATTTCGTTCAACTTGTTCAGTGCTGTTTTTTCATGTTTTCACGTGTTTATCAGCAAATTACAGATTATTTAATTTTTTCCAGTTTCAAAGCCTTTTGATGAACTTAGGAATCTTTGAAAGTTGTAATTCAGCATGATTAATCTCAAGATTATAACATTATTCATGGTAGTGAGACAGAAAGTGTATTTGTTTGTGTTTGCCATCTCAACGTGCTAAAGTTAAAACTTCGTTTTCTAAAATTCATTTACTCAGTAGGTGCTCATTTTGTATTTTACCAGACATGGGAGGATCAAAGCCAAGCAGAGATGATCTTTGCCATCAGAAGCGTAAGGTCCAATATTAAAGCCTGGTAATGGTTCTTACTATGTAAACTAATCCTTGAGGATATATAAGGGAGTAGTATGTCCCAATTGGGAGACCGTGGGACCCTGGAAAAGGGCAGTGTTACAGCAGTGGGAGTTTTGCCCCATCAGAGCTCACACAAGGACGGGCATCTCCAGTGGGTGGACCCACATGGGCAAAGGCCCTGACGGAGACTGTGACAGGGAAAAGGCAGTTATCAGTGTCATTAGAGATGAAATGTAATGTGAGGATGAAGGAGCCTGGAGTTGTAGAGAGCATTTGGACCTTGAGGAATCTTTCTGAAGAATATGGACAATTCTGACCTATCAAAATGTCATCTCTGCCTCATTTAGCTGGAAATCTCTCAGTAGGAAATAGGAGTTCATATAAAGGACAAAGTGTTATCTGCAGGATTTTAATATCTAATAGATTTTATATCTACTAAGGGCCTTCCTTTCAATGCACAGCCATCTCTTAGAATATGTGATTTTCTTAGGCAAAGAAAAGAAAAGTATATTGGTAGCCTCAATGTATTTTATTGTACCCAGTAGAGGTCTGGTTGTTTTCGCTAAGTACTTACTGGAAGAAGTAATTATCAAAAACTTTCTTTGAAATACATTATGAGTGTTAAATCCTTTGAAATACTTGCTAAAGAGATATGGAGCAGAGTCATTTTAAAATTTATAATGATTCAAATACTAAAAAATGTTCAAAAGATTCAATATATATATATAATATTTCAATGTATTTAATATCAAATGTGAAGATTTTAATAATGATGATTAATATCTTGATATTAATGCACTCAAGTCAATAGGTTCACAACCAGTTGCAAATCATTCTGGTCGATAATGTTCTAATTATAGCAAAATTCTTCAGTAGGCATTTCATTGAGAAAAATGTTGCATATAGATGGGAAAAAGTCACAAAGAATGATCTTAATTAAAACATTAAAAATAAAATCATGAAAATATGTATTATTCATTGTATCCACTCTGGAGAATCTAAGCTGTGATGAAAATGAGGCTTTTTTATTTGAGAAAAATTTCAAGAGTTAAAATGTCACTTTTTATATCTTGAGTTTTCTCAAGCAAAGCATTACAAGAATCCTGAAGTGTTTGGGGAGTGGCTCATATGTAGTTTGATTCAAACTCAGATTTGTGGGGAGAAAAAGGAACCTTGAACAGTTTGGTGGGAATGTATCGGATCATTGGGAAAGCCATGATGTATTTTTGTATAGAAAAACATATGAAAATGCATCATAAATTTTCAGACAACCTAATAAATTAATATAGTCATTATGGAAAACAGCATGGCGGTTTCTCACAAAGGTAAAAATAGAATTACCATATGATCCAGCAATTTCTTTCTTTCTTTCTTTTTCTTTGGAGAGGTTTTTGCTATAAGGCATGTGTGCTCACCAGAGAGAGAGAGAGAGAGAGAGAGAGAGAGGAAGCGAGAAATCACCCCCCAGAGGGGAAGGGCCATGCCACAATTCCTTTTCCCCCATTCTCCTCTCAGGATCTTGGGCACACATGCACACGTGCCCAGCGTGAGTTTAAGCCACCAGGTCTGGGACTTGAACTGCGGTCAACTACATGGGAGTCCAACTGCTGGTCCTTGATCAAGCAATTTCACTTCTGTGTATCTAAAGGTAATGACATCTATATGTTGAGATATTTACAGTCTTACTCATTGCAGCATTATTCACAAAAGCTAAAATACAGAAGAAATCTAATTGTTCTTCAGTGGATAAATGGATGAATAATACATATATATGGTGGAGTTGATATTAACAGTTAATAGAGTAAGTGACATTTAAAACAAGAGCAAAGCTAAAGAGGAACCAAATCATAGAACCCTATGAAAATCAGTGAAAATTTTGTAGTCATCATAATGGTAAGACTAGTCCAGCCATGGTGGGACGAGGAGTAGGGCACTGGAGCCACATGGGAGGCCGAGGTTTGGTTCCTGATCTGAACTGAACATGCTGATATGCCTGTGCATGCTTGTGATCCTGGCTGGCTGGGAAGGTGGTGGAACGTGTGAAGGGTTACTTGTTTCTCTTGAAAGAAGGAAAGAAGGAAGGAAGGAATGGAGTGAGAGAAGGAGGAAGAAAGATAAAAAAAAAAAGTAAGGAAGAGGGAAAATAAAAGAGGGAAGGAGGGAGAGGGGGAAGGAAAGGAAGACAGAAGGAAGAAAACTTTATAAAGAGTGAGCCAATTAGTGGCACAGTCATAGAATGTGATGCTCACAATGCTGACCCACATGAGAAAAAGTTCCATGTTCCCATCCAGAGACCTCCTGGAGTACCAAGCATGCATGTGCCCATAGGCTGGGGATGGATCATGGCATCAAAACCATGTTCGGGTGCTATCTCTCTGTCTCTGTCTCTCTTACTCATGGAAGAAATAAATGCATAAACTTTTTAAAAAACGAATATTAGAGCCAGCAGGTGGAGTGATGGTTGATGTGCTGGACTCCCACATGGCTGAGTATGGTTCAAGACCTGGATGTGGAAGCTCAAAAATGTCAGGGCACGCACACACATGTGTGTGTGTGTGTGTGTGTGTGTGTGTGTGCCCAAAATCTCAGAAGGAATGAAGGAGAAGAGGTTGTTGCATGGCCATTCCCCCTCGGGAGTGATTTCTCAACTTTCTCTCTCATTGTCTCTCTCTGTCTCTTTTTGGAGAGCACATGTGCCCTATGGCAAAAACTTGGGAAGGAAGGAAGGAAGGAAGGAAGGAAGGATGGATGGATGGAAGGATGGATGGATGGAAGGACGGAGAGAGTAGTAACTGGCTATAAAACTACTCTCTACAGGAGAAGCATATGTGGGCCTTCAGCCAAACATATCTTGGCTCTACATTTCAGTTAATGATTACAGACCATGCTGATGAGGAGCTGACCTTGTGGTTAAATAAGGCTGTTTCTTGTTCCTGCTTTCATACTTGTTAGCTGAGTAACATCAGGCGAGTCATTATTCTGCTTTAAAATATCCATATCATGTTGCCTACTTCTAGAACTGTAAGAAGTAAAAGAAGAATCTGTGGAGAAGCACTTGGTTCATCACAGGTGATGAACTGTAGCTGCGGCCTTCTCACCCACAGCTTTCTCTCCCTTCTTTTTCACGATCAATCCCCTGGGTATGCTGACATGAATGCGGTTTATACATTTTCTGTGCTGATTTTCTCAGCATGTATTTTCACTTCTCTCAAGATCACCAACTGACTTTACATTCATTCAGATCTCTTCTTCAATTCACATTGTGATCCACTCACAAGTTTAACTTCTTTATAATCCTTCCTCTATATCCTAAACCAAAATTTCTTCAACCAGTGACCTGATTATCTCTAATGTTCCTGAATCAAATTTCCATGGAAAACTTTGTCCCAAGTGGTTGTTAATGAGTGGAGATGTTAGTGTGAAACCACACCATCGTCTGGTTGTTGATTCTGTTAAATTCGGGTAGAAAACAGGTGCATCTGGTGATCTCCGACAGAGGCTATTGTCAAAGGACAGGGCTCATGGCTGCCATAGACCCTCTACATTGAAATAAAAGAACATAAGAAGTTGAGGTTAAACGGCTACCAAAATTATAGAATTATTTGGAAGCGGCAAAGCTCAATCCTAAATAATGATCTTGTGTCCTGTCTTTCAACATGATTCTCTTTTGGAGAGAGTATCAGATTACCAATATTCTGGTAAACTTGGGGCCAGCAGATGGTGCAAAGGTTACTTTGCTGGATCATTTTCCTATCCATACATTTTTAAAAAATTCTTACTAAGTATGAAAATTGTGTTTATTTTCTTAGTATAGACCTACTTCTATGCCATGTCTTGAAAAACAGTGTTTTATTTTAAAATGTCTTATTTACTTATTTATCCTTGAATTCTAATAACAGGTACTTTTTTTTTTAACTTTTTTTTTTTTAAACTTTTTCTTAGGCTGCTAAGTTGGCTATCACAGTGCAAGCCTTCGAGTCCCGATGGGGGACTCAGGATCAAGACGATCTACTCTGGTCTCCCGGTTGCCGATTTTCAGAAGAAGTATTAGCAGAAGACATGACTCTCTTCCCTCTTCGCCTTCCTCTAGTAACACGGTTGCTATCCACAGCTCCTCTCCTTCCAGCACAAACTCAAGCTCAGGTAGTACAGGGAAACGCAGGAGCTTGTTCCGCACCCCTTCCATCAGCTTCCACCATAAGAAGGGGAATGAACCCAAGCAGGACTCTACCAACCAGAACCTTAGTATTTCAAATGGTGCTCAACCTGGTCACAGCAATATGCAGAAACTGAGTTTGGAAGAACATGTCCTTGAATTTTAATAACAGGTTCTTTTTTTTTAACTTTTTTTTTTTTTTTAACTTTTTCTTAGGCTGCTAAGTTGGCTATCACAGTGCAAGCCTTCGAGTCCCGATGGGGGACTCAGGATCAAGACGATCTACTCTGGTCTCCCGGTTGCCGATTTTCAGAAGAAGTATTAGCAGAAGACATGACTCTCTTCCCTCTTCGCCTTCCTCTAGTAACACGGTTGGTGTCCACAGCTCCTCTCCTTCCAGCACAAACTCAAGCTCAGGTAGTACAGGGAAACGCAGGAGCTTGTTCCGCACCCCTTCCATCAGCTTCCACCATAAGAAGGGGAATGAACCCAAGCAGGACTCTACCAACCAGAACCTTAGTATTTCAAATGGTGCTCAACCTGGTCACAGCAATATGCAGAAACTGAGTTTGGAAGAACATGTTAAAACCAGGGGAAGACATTCTGTCGGTTTTAGTAGTTCACGGAACAAGAAGATAACTAGGTCTTTGACAGAGGATTTTGAAAGGGAAAAAGAGCACTCGACTAATAAGAACGTCTTTATAAATTGCCTGAGTTCTGGCAAGAGTGAGGGGGATGACTCCGGATTCACTGAAGAGCAGACACGCCGTTCTGTTAAGCAGTCGACAAGGAAGCTGCTCCCCAAATCTTTCTCGTCTCACTATAAATTTTCTAAGCCGGTTCTACAGAGCCAATCCATTTCGTTGGTACAACAGTCCGAGTTCTCGCTGGAAATTACACAGTACCAAGAGCGAGAACCTGTATTAGTAAGAGCTTCACCATCTTGTTCTGTGGATGTAACCGACAAGGCCGGAAGCTCCTTACAATCTCCTCTGCTTTCTGCTGATCTTACCACAGCTCAGACTCCTTCCGAATTTTTAGCCTTGACTGAAGATTCTGTGTCTGAGGCGGATGCATTCCCTCAGAGTGGCAGCTTGGCATCCCACTGTGACAACTCTGGCCACAATGATTCTACCTCTCAGATCTCTCCCAACCCTGCTGCTGTTACAAAGACAATAGAAATGATGGGACCTGTTCCCTGTACAGTTACGTCACCTGGGAAATACAGGTTAGAAGGTCGATGTAGCGCCGAATCTCACTCCTTCCCAGAAACCTCTGCTGCTACTCAGAAGGAAGTGTTATTGCAAATCACTGAACTACCTGTTACCAATGTGAACAACTCGGAGAGTCACCTACCAGCAGATACTCAGAGAGAAGGAAATACGGTATTACAGAATGGTGAGGCAGTGCTGGGAATAAGCTCCCCAAGGAAACTTGGATTGTACGAGCATAAGGTGATAGCTGAGCACATGAAAGGGATCCATCCTATTTCAGATTCAAAGATAATACCCTCTGTAGGTGATCATCATATTTTCAACAAAACATCATATGGGTATGAAGCCAATCCTGCCAAAGGTATGCTGATTTTCTTTGTATTATGAATGATATGAATTCTTTCTTTTTCAATGTATTCAATCCTCCTACTCCATCTCATGAGTGGAAACCACATTTTTCTTATTTTTCACTGTCTAAATTCTTTCCTGCTTTAAATAGTTCCCCTGCTTGATTTTAAACTTATTTAAGTTGTATTATACTGAAAATATAATGCAGTCATATTATCATTTTTCTCAGTTATGCTACCCAGATTCTAACTCTCAGGAAAAATCTGGAGAGAAACTTATTCTATTTGCAATGTGACATCTTCTAAATTAAGGATGATCTCTTTTAGAGTTCATTTTAGAGATATTGGTATTCCTTAGGTAGTTAAATGTTATATTCTAGCCAAAATATTTATAAAATAAATTTATATAATGTAAATCTATTTCCTGCATTAACACAGCTTTTGTTACTACATAGGATCCATGTTTCAGCATAAATAATCCTTGTCTGTAGAAACAACAGAGTTGGAAGCTTCTAAAATTCTGTCCTTGGAACTTGGAAACCTTAGCTCAAACCCTGCTTCTAACATTGAGTAGCTGTATAACCTTGGCATTTTCTCTTTGGTTGAAAAATAAGGAGGAATATATATAAATTACTCTAATGTGGCTTCAGAAAACTTTGTTATTTAACATAAAATTTAGTTGAAGAAAATTATCGAGTATCGACCTCCTACTGAACTATATTAGACACTAGTTTTTAGTCTTTTTTTCCCCCACTATCAGTATTGCTCCTGCTGCTACTTCTAAAGATTATCACAGCTTCAAAGACAGTATTATGTTCTATATACTATTCTGTGTACTTTGCATACATTAAGTTAAAAATCCTTGAAATGACTACAATTAAGTTACTTTTCAGGCAAGAAAATTGGAGCACAGATAAGGTGTATGTCCACAGTCACAAAGTTAATAAGTAACTATTGGGATATAAACCCTATGAGGTAGGCTTGTATGTGTCCCATTTTATAAATGTAAAAACTAAGGCCCAAGGATCATAGAGTTTGTAAGTAGGATAGCAAAATTGCAGGTATATAAACCTGAAACTCAGGCTGTAATAACTGCCTGCACTACATGTCATGACTGACAATATTAAATAAGATGTGTGATGAGTAAATTTTCATAAGTAAAATGATATATAGAATATCAAGAATCAGGATTGTACAGTCCCCATAAGAAAGTCCCTAATTTTAAAGTTTTCAATGCATGAATTAATTTTCTAGCTGTCTTAATATTTTTTCACATTTGCTACAAGATCATTTTAATTGATATGACTACTTTAAAATTTTTTACCTGGTAACCTTACTCTTGGCTTTAGTCATACCTGCTTTTTACCTATAATAAAACTATGAGAATGGTGATAAAAATAGTGATGATTATCTTTTTGTACACTTACTGTGAGCTCAAAAATGTACTAAGAAATTTGTATGCACTTTGCATATACACCTTAAAATTTTTATGTGGCGGTTATTAATAATTAATATATTTAGGATTAAATTAAATAACTTCATAAGACCACATAGCTAATAAATGATGGACCTCATTTTGGAATTCAAGTAGTTTTTCAAAGAAATAGCATTAAAAAAGCTAGAAATAAATATTTAAATATTTATATGTCCTGATACAGCTAATGCTTAATGATGATAACTTGCCTCAGTGCTTGAATACTATATGTTTTTTAATCTCTATGGAAACTAGGAAATAACCAAAAATTTTCTGGGTGACAATCTGTTGATCAAGGACCTAATTGTAAGCTACTTAACACTTTGAAGTAATTTTGTTGATTTGAAAATGTTTTGCCTGTTCTTGGACAAATAAGCTGGTAAAATAAAAAAAGAAAATAGGATCATTTACTATCCTTTATTTTGTGAGGATATTTATGTGTTGTTTATAAGGATTTTATAATTTGGAAGTTAAAAAATTTTAAACCAGGTAAGAGATGTATCTTATGCAAGAAAGAGTTCCTAGATACATGCAATTTCAAAATGTTAAATTTATTTTGTATATATTATGGAACATATTTAAGAAAATATATATCTGAGTGTCTTAGGTATACAATTATATCACAGTTAATAATGGACTGTTGAGCTCTCTGGCAATGTAACTTTCATTCCCTGGTGTAGAAGTTATTTAATAAGAGGACTGACCCATAGTGCAGTAGTGAAGTGCTGTGCATTGGGAGCTGGATCCCATCTGGCTACCCACAGTTTGAGTGTCAGCTCCAATGGCTTGAAAAAAACACACCAGGCACATGTGCATGTATGCCTCAAATGACAGGAGGGAGATATGGCAGGAAAAAGGTTTGCTTGCTCTCCTCCCTGTCTTCTCTTTGGTGATTGCATGGATCTTCTGGCAATAAAAACAGAATAACATTAAAAATTAAAAAGTAAAGTTATTTAAAAAGAACTGCTATATGTTGGCCTAATGGGTTCTGCCCAAAAGTCTTTAAATTTATTTAGATGAGCCTAAATAGAAGACTTTATTCATTTATTCAACTATTTATTGTTTTGCCATTATTTTTGGTGCTCAGGATATAGCAATGTAAAAACAGACATAAATCTTACCTTCTTGAAGGTTTCACTCTACTAAGGACGCTCAGATAATAACCACTGCTGAGGATGAGTTTAAAGCACAATAAAGAATTAGGAAGTAGGGGGTGGGATAGCAGTTTGCATTTTTAAGCCTGGTGAAGTAGAGTGATATACAAAGTAGCATATTAGCAAAGACTTGAAAGAACTTAGAGAGTGAGACATACAGATAGTTTGTGAGAAGTGCAAAGGTAGTGGGTTAAAAGCTATGGGGTGGAAGCATGCTGCAGTGGTCAGGGAACAGCAAGAAGGCCAGTGTGGCAGAGTAGGGTGAAGGAAGGGAGAATGGCAGAAAGCGAAGTAGGAAAGGAGAACAGGTGAACGAGGCGGTCCCAGTGTGGGGGCAGAAAGTAGGGTCATATCCTGAGGAACCTAGTAGGCCATATGAAAATGTGAGCTTGATAAATGGAGGGACAGTGGTGACCATTCCCATGTGTGTTTTAAACGTATCATTTTTGGCTACCAGTGGAGAGGCAGATTGGAGTAGGAAGAAGCAGGAGAACTTGAGGAAGCATTGCAGTGCCCAGGCAAACATCGGGAGGGTTGGGTCTAGAATCTTAGTGCGGGAGATGGTGAGAAGTGATCAGGTTCTGTATACAATTTGAAGGGGAGGAAGGACAGGACTTGTTTATGTGAATAATGTGAACTGAGAAAAAGCCAAGAGTGACTCCAAAGTTTGGGGGCATCGAAGAGATTTCATGATTAAGGAAACTAAACTACTGCTCTAAATCATGATAGAGAATTTTTGAATGATGCTAAGAATTTTCTATTATCTTTTCATACAACGTTTATATAAAGTACATTTAAATATTTATATTAATTCTATTTATTTTTTAAATAGTTCTTGCCAGTAGCCTCAGCCCCTATCGTGAAGGACGATTTATAGAGAGGCGACTGCGATCCTCATCAGAAGGAACTGCAGGGAGTAGCAGAATGATTTTGAAGCCAAAAGATGGAAACGTGGAAGAAGTTAATAGTTTAAGAAAGCAAAGAGCAGGTTCCTCATCTTCCAAAATGAACAGTATGGTAAGTGCATACACATAAATGTGTGTGATGAAATCATGTCACATATTTCAAGCATGCAAAATGCACACAGGCAGAAGACAGACACCTCGTATTTGAAGGAAATATAGACCTAGACCGCTCCTAGACCTCACAGGTCCGAGAGGCTGGTTTTCCACATGCGCATGTTATGCTCCTGGGTCAGGAGCACGCTATGACAGCGCCCCTTAGTTCTAGGTACCCTGACTGTCCTTGATCCCATGAAAAATGGGATATTCTCCATTCTAGGAACAATTCTAAACCTGCAGACCCTAAGGTAGGAGAAATGATGATCATGAGAATTGCCTGGCACTATCATTTCACAGCCTCTCACGACTGCATCACTCTAGCAGATGTCCTGTTGAAAATCACACGCATCTAGTACTGCCCTGTACTCTACTCTGGCGGTCCTCCCACTTAGCCTTCCCACACAGGAGGGGGAGTCACTGTGCAGCCAGTGGGGGCCAATGTGAAATGCCTCTCCAGAGTGTGAACACGTTGCAGATAACTGAGATACCAGATTTCTGGTCTGGATTGCACAGCCTGGTTTAGGATGAGGGCAGAGGTGGGGTATCTGTAAGGAGGTTGGTCTGAGCATGCACTTGACGGCTGTGTTTGAAGTTCTCTCATGGTGTGAGTTGGAGCTGTGGTGGGAAGAAGTGAGGGGCAGACTGCAGCCTAGGGGTCCCAGAGGCCGCAGGTTTCACACCTACTCTGGGCTTGTCTTTCAGAGTTCATTTTGCTCATTTTTTCCCAGAAATGTGTGCTTTATCAGCAGTGTATTTAAATCCTATTAACAGTTTTCTTTAAAGCAATCAACCTGCTTTCCTCTCTGTTTACCCATGGATATGTGTGAAAAATGCTCAAAAATAAACCACTGAAGATATCTCTATGTATTCTAAACAATCAGGCATCAAATGAAATAATGAGATCATCTAGATTTGACCACTGTATTGTGACGAATCTTTAAATTACTAAGGTGACCTTGCGTGATAGCCAGACTATTACACTTGAGGTTAGATGTTTTAACCGTTATTCTAGCCTAGCAGTTTATTCATCTTGGACAAATCAAAGCAACCACAAACAACAAATGATAATAAACTTTTTGTTTCCGTTATACTGAAAAATTACTGTGTATATGTGTGTGTTCATATAGAAACATTACCTTTTATCTTTTGTTATTTTCATGTGTTGAAAATATTATATCACTGTTGTTGCAATTGGTATCTTATGTCTAAGTACAAGAACCTGTCGAAAAAAGTTTCTAGTTGACATAATGTTAAAAGTTAGAAAAAAAAAAGTTAGAGCTAATGAAATATTGTGAAATATTTCTTTTTAGGCAATTTTCATTATTTCTCCAGAGAGATATTAATAGTTGTACATTATTCAACTTGCTCAAAGCTGGACCTTTTACATGTTCTTTATATCATGTTTTTCATACTACGTTTAATTTAATTATTATTATAATATTCTAAAATAATTTTTAATCAGATCAATCTTCAGTATTTAAAACTTAATATGTAAAAACACATGAAAAGTCCTCTTGTTTTTATTTGAGTCTTCAATGGTGAATTTTCAAGAAGTGTTCCTGCAGTGTCATAGGTCGTCCACTAGGTGGCAGGGTTGTACCATTGCAATGATGGTGGAAGTCTCTCAAGATTGGAACAGAAATTTGGTAAAAATATTGCACATGTTCACTGGATTTACAATAAAAACCTGTTGAAATACAATACATACTCAAACTTTTTAGTGTCCAAAATTTACCTACCAAAAATTACTTTATAATTTTACTGTTTTCCTTTGGAATTTGCAAGTTATATCTCATCCTTTAGTTACTTTAATAGTTAATTTTAAATGCATGGAATATACTCTTTCTTAAAGCAGTATAAGGAAGAAACACTAGAATTCTTTAGGCAATCCTAGCAATATGTGAAACAAGTAGCTTAAATGTCTAGGAAAGTAAAGCTTTGTGTGTGAAAAATGCCACATTTTCTGCTATTCCTCTTCCAAAATGTATTAGGTTGTCGGGAAGGTCCTGATGTATTTTTCTGTGTTTTTCCATGCAACAATAAGTCATGACTTTCCCACCGACGCAATACTTAAGAATGAATCCATCATTCAGATATTATTCTCTTTTAGAGCAATAATAATCATAACGTGTATTTCTAATGCTTATTTGAACCAAGAGACTACTTTTAATGCTTCACGTCTATTATCACATTCAGTTTTCACAGTAACGCACTAAGTGCTAATGTACTTACAGAATTTGATGAAAGAGGTCAATCAGGCACTGGAAGGTAGAAGATAAGCAGTTTTTCTAACATCGCACAGCTAGTAAATAAGAGAGATTGCATTTGAATTTGGATCTTAACTGTCTAAGTTCAAACCCTATAAGCTTTTAGAAGAATATATTAGATTTAAAATGAGTTTGAGTCATTTTTCATTTTTTTTACACTGACTCTGTGTAATGAAATAAACATATTTAAGGGAACTCATGCTTGCCCTAAATCTAAACTGCAATCCTTTGTAAGGGATACCAAAAAGGAAAGCAGAAAGGAAATTTGATATTTTCTGTGGTTTGGGTAATGGCTTTTCCCTGAAGTTTTATATTCTGGAAACTTGTTCCACAGTGTAACGGCTTTGGGAGGTGGCCAGACCTTTCAGAGGTGGGATCTAATAGAAGAGCACCATCTAGTGGTGTGGGGGCATGGGAGGGACAGAGAAGCGAGGAATTATGTTTTCTTTCTCTCTGAGTGTCTCTACCTCTCTCTGTTTCTGGCAGCCATGTTGTGATCCTATGCCATTCCATCTTTTTGAAATTTTTAGCCACCAAAATCATAAGCCAAATATATCTCTGTTTCTTATAAACCACCCAGTCTCAAGTGTTTCCACTTAGCAACACAGAAATGAGCTAAAACAGTACTTACTGTGAACTTCAAATGTGGACGTATTTCTTGATATGTTGGTGAGTGGTTTCAATAACTTTACTGAAAAACATCCGTAATAATGGAACTTTATTATGGAAGAAGATATGCATACTTAGGGAGAACTGTAGTCCTTTACATACCATTGATGGGATTCAATTCTTCCCATAAGACATGGCTCTAGAAATCTGAGGGTTTCTTGAATGACCAAGGATATGCCCTTAAAGGATTAGATACACCAAATTCATAGTGGTTTTGTATGCTTTTGAAAGATTTCTGTTAAGGGCAGAAAATGTATTAATTCTTGGAGTATCAGTGGCCCAGAAGAAATGAGAAGTTCCTTAAATTTGTTACAAGAAAGCAAAGTATATCTGGAACAACTTAGTAAGCATTCACATTTATTATATTTTATAAAACCACTTCAAACAAAGACTTTTCTGAAGTATTTTTTAATGAGTAATTTCTTGATACTGGCCTTAGGGTTGTCCAAAAATTTTAAAATGCTTTCTAGAAATAGGTTTTCTATTTCTAGGCACTTTCTCTCCATACTATCATAAATACATGAAAAAATGCAAGGATTTGTCATGATTTCTTCAACAGCTTTGCACATTGACTTCTAACTCTAAATATTTATGAAATTACCCTGCTCTGAAAAAAAAAATAATGTGTGTGGGGCTAACAGGTGGTGTGGTGGTTGAGGGGCTGGACTCCCACTGCAGTTTGAGTCCTGGACCAGGTGGTTTCAGAATCATGTGGATGTGTGTGTGTGCGTATGCCCAAAACCCTAGGAGGAGAATGGAGGAGAAGGGATTGCACTGTGGCCATCCCTGCTGTATGAGATGATCTCTCACTTTCTCTCTCACCGTCTCTCTGTCTCTCTCTGGCAAGCACACATGCAGTATGGTAAAAACCTAAAAAAACAAAAAGCAAACCAAAAAAAACTCACACTAATGAGAGCATATTTATATATAATGATCAAATAAAAGGACCTAACATCATTCAAGGAAGGAAAGTACCCGAGCCTGAGTCACTATAAAATGATAACAAATGACCACATTGTAGCCATTTATTTTATTTTATTTCATTTTATTTTATTTATTTTTTAGGAGAGGTTTTTGCTATAGGGCACATGCACTCACCATAAAGACAGAGAGAGACAGAAGAAAGGGAGAAATCACCCCCCAGGGAGATGGCCACGCCACAATCCCTTCTCCTCCATTCTCCTCTCAGGATCTTGGGCATGCACATACACACGCCCAGCGTGAGTTTAAGCCACCGGGTCCAGGACTCAAACCGCGGTTGACTACATGGGTGTCCAGTGACATAGCCATTACACTAACTGTAGGTCCCCGTTGTAGCCATTTTATAAAGTGGGTTTATGTCTCACTCAGGCTACGTATTCACTGTGGAAGGTGCAGAGGTGCTGCTCCACGTGCCCTACATCTGTATCCAGGATATTAGAACAGCTCTTTTGCAAACATTGCCTGTCACCCTGGCAAAATGAGAGAGATCTCTGAAGGTCTGGCCCCAGCAATAAAACACTCTGGCCTATGAGAGACTCATTTCACTTCTTCTTTGCTACTCATTGGTCAGATCGAATCTCATGGCACAGACAAGACACAGCAGGTCCTAGGAAGTATATTCCCTTCCTGTGTTTAGAATATGCAGACCCGTATTAATAATGGTGAGGCCGAACATACTCGCACATAGCTCTTTACGTCTCAGTTGTTTCAGGTAACTGAGATTTTCTAGTTGCCTCTTCCTCCCAGTCTGTGCACAGGAAATTCGTTTAAGGGGCTCTGACTTAGTGAGCCATAGTGCTCCTCTCGGCGATTGAGGGAGAGAAAAACCTCTCTGATGTCAAAGGGTCTGCACAAAACCACAGGTTTTACTTTGTGAGCTGTGTTCCCTTTCTTAACTACAGGCCTCCAGAGGCATATCTTTAACGAACTAAGTTTAGTTTTTTATGAGTCTCAAGGAATTCTACTGTATTTGGAAGTATTTCTTTTTATTGAATTAAACAGTTGGTTTTGAAAACGGCATTATCCTTGGATTTCTCAG